TCATGAGGAAAATGGAAATCAAAACCATAATGAAATATCAGTGCACACCCACTAAGATGCCTATAATGAAAAGGTCAGATAACAAAGGTGAGTGAGGATATGGAGGAATTGGACTCACTCATATACTGCTGTTGGGGTGAATGTAAAATGGCACATCCATTGTGGAAAGTGCAGCTCTTCTAAAAGCTTACCCAGAGTAAGCTTTTGGTGCAGAAATTTCTGTCCTAGGTATGAAAAGAGAAATGAAAAGATAAGTTTAGCCAGAGCCAACACCCGGCTCTGTGGCATACGGGCAAAAAGAGCCAAGGAAGCTGCAGACCAGGATGTTGAAAAGAAAAAAATAAAGCCCTGTTAGGGACTTTAAATCAGCAGTTAAAAAAAAAAGGAAAAAGAAAAGTTTACACAAAAATTGTACATGAATACTCATAACAGCATAACTCATAATGGCCACATAATGAAAATAATCCAGTGTCCATCACTGTTGAATGGATAAACAAAGTGTAATATATCCATACTGGGAAATATTATTCAGCTATTAAAAGGAAGAAACTATTTTTTTTAAAGTTCTTTCCCCCCACCCTGAGCCAGAGTCTCATTCTGTCACTCAGGATAGAATGCCATGGCATCATAGTTCACAGCAACCTCAAACTCTTGGGCTCAAGAGAACCTCTTGCCTCAGTTTTTTTTTTTCTATTTTTAGTAGAGATGGGGGTCTAGGCTCTTGTTCAGGCTGGTCTCGAACTCCTGAGCTCAAGCAATCCATCTGTCTCAGCATCCCAGAGTGCAAGGCTAGGATTACAGGTGTGAGCCATCACACCTAGCCAGGAAACTTTCTTCTTTTTCTTTTTGATATAGAGTCTTACTCTGTTGCCCAGGCTAGAGTGCTAGAGGCATCAGCCTTGCTCGCTACAATCTCAGACTCCTGGCCTCAAGTGATCCTCCTGCCTCAGCTTCCTAAGTAGCTGGGACTACAGGTGCCTGCCACCACGCCCAGTGAATCTTTCTATTTTTAGTAGAGACAGAGTTTCACTCTTGCTCAGGCTGGTGTCAAACTCCCGAGCTCAAGGGATTCTCCTCCCTCCACCTCCCAGAGTTCTAGAATTACAGGCGTGAGCCACCACTATTGATACAGCTACAACATGGCTGAGATGACTAAAGTGTTCTAAAATTGATGTGGTGATGGTGATCGGGGCAATACTCTGAACTACTAAAAACATTGACTTCTACACTATAAAGGAGTGAATTATGTGATTATGAGTCATATTTCTATAAAGCTGTTACAATGAAAAAGATCTGAGTGTTTCTACATCTCATGGTTCAGTTTTTTTTTTTTTTTTTTGAGACAGTCTCAAGTTGACGCCCTCAGTGCAGTGCTATGGTGTCACAGCTCACAGCAAGCTCCAACTCTTGGGCTTAAGCAATTCTCTTGCCTCAGCCTTCCAAGTAGCTGGAACTACAGGCACCCGCCACAACGCCCGGCTACAGTTCTTTTTCTAGATCTCTCAGCAGCCATTTACAGAGTCGTTCATTTTCTTCTTCATAAAATACTGACTGGCTTGGCTGTGAGGACACCACTCTCCTCTCACTTCATGACCTATTCCTCCTAATTCTGCTCTGTTGTATCTTCCTATCTTCTGTGCTTTAACTGCAGGCATCCCCAGGGCTCAGGCTTTGAATTTCTCTTTGACTAGCTTTATTCACACCCTAGGGGGCCTCATCTAGGCACATGGTTTTAAACATCCTTTCTATGCTAACAGCTCTGACATTTATATTTCCAGCCTTGACCCCTCCCTTGAATTCCAGTTCACATAATTAACCATTACCTTGACATCTCATATTAGCTATATACTAGGTGACTCAAACTCAGCATAGATGAACTTTTCCACCAGTCCCAAATTAGAACAGATCTTCCCTCAGAATTCCCCTCTCGGTAAATGCTAACTTCATTCTTTCAGTTGTTTAGGTCAAAAACCTTTCTTTATTAGAAGGGGCCCCTCACCTCCCCTTCTAACAAATTCTATCAACTTCATGTTCAAAATGGAATGAGGATCAGATAGCTTCTTACTAGTTCCCGTGCTACCAGTCTGGTCCCAAACACTATCGTCTCTCACCCAGATATTCTTTCTTTCTTTTAGAGATGGGGTCTTGCTCTGTCATCCAGGCTGGAGTGCTGTGGTTCGATCACGGCTCACTGCAGCCTCAAACTCCTGGGCTCAAACTATCTTCCTGCCACAGCCTCCAGGGTAGCTGGGACTACAGATGTGCATCCAGTTAATTTTGTTGTTATTTGTAGACACAGGGTCTTGCTATATTGCCCAAGCTGGTCTTGAACTCCTGGCCTCAAGTGATCCTCTGGCCTCAGCCTCCCACACTGCTGGGATTATAGAGATAAGCCACTGTGCCCAGTCTCATCTGATTATTTCAATAATCACTTCATTGATCTCCGTTTTGATCCTTGCCCCCACTTCTTGCCTCAGTCAATGCTCCACACACCAACCCAAGTAATTATTTAAAATACAATTACACTGTGTTGTGTCTTTCTGTTCAAAATCCCCAATGGGCTTCTCATCTCCTCCAAAGGAAAATCGGAATCTTTCCATGGCTGACAGGGTCCTCCATGTCTGATTTCCCCTCCTACCTCTGACTAACTTTCTTTTCCATTGATTCCATCCAATCACAATGGTCTGCTATTTCTTAACACTTCTACCCCAGGGCCTTTGCACTTGCTCTTTTGCCTAGAAAGCTCTTTCTTCTGCTACCTGCAAGGTGCTGGGTTCTGATGTCATGTGATCTGAAAAGCGTTCTGATTTCTTTGTGTAAAATTCCGTCCCCTTGGCACTCTCCACACCACAGCTGCCTTGATTCCTCTTCATGGTGCTATAGTATATCATTCATGTCTCGTTCGTTTTTATTTTTATTTTATTATTTATTTATTTAGTCTCACTTTGTCACCCTTGATAGGGTACCATGGTGTCATGACTCACAGCGAACTAAGATTCTTGGGCTCAAGTGATCCTCTTGCCTCAGTCTCCCAAATAGCTGGGAGTACAGGCACCTGCCACAACACCTGGCTATTTTTTTTAGAGGCGGGGTCTTGCTCTTGCTCAGGTTGGTCTCCAACTCATGAGCTCAAGCAATCCACCCCCTTTGGTGTCCCAGAGTGCTATCATTACAGGCGTGAGCCACTGTACCTAGCCTCTTGTACATTTTTACTGAACAATTAAAATAATTGCTCTGGGAGACAGAGGTAGGTGGATCACCTGAGCTCACAGGTTTGAGACCAGCCTGAGCCAGAGGGAGACCCAGCCTTAAAAGATGCTTGGGCATTGTGGCAGGTGCAAGAGAATTGTTTGAGCCCAAGGATTTGAGGTTGCTGTGAGCTATGACTCCACAGCACTCTACCGAGGGTGACAAAGTGAGACTGTCTCAAAAAAAAAAAAAAAAAGAATGAGATCTTTTTTGTTATTGTGATTTGTCCCCAGCACCTGGGAGGGTATCTGACAGAGAATAGGTGCACTTCATAAATGGCTAAAGAATAAATGATTCAGTGATTTGGGAGTAGAAACCAGGTTGCAGTAGTTTGAGGAGCAAATGTTGAGGTGAGAACTGGAAACACATTTTTGCAGAGTTTGGCTACATAGAGGAGGGAAGCAAGAGGTCAGGCATTGACAGGTGAGGGGGGAACAGGGCTGGAGACAGCAGGTTTTTTAAAAGCAGGCAGAGTCGTGGGCTGTTTAAACAGTGATGTATATTCCCCGTGAAGGACTGACCATGGAGGGGTGGTTTGGAGAGAAGGCAGGAGGGAGCGCGGAAGTGGGTTTCAGGAGCCCCTGTCTGAGCCAGGGGAGTCACCGGGAATAGACAGTTGTGCCAGAGAGCCATCATTTTTGGCAAAACCCATATTGTGGTCCTGCACATTTTCTAGTTTTTTTAAAATTTCAGATTAATATGAGAGTACAAATGATTAGGTTACGTGGTTTGTATTAGTTAGGGAAAGTCCCTGCTGTGATTGTGCCCCAATTATCCACCCATGAAGTGTGCTATTGTAGCCTTACATCATGCCTGTTAGTCAAGAGCCCACCAATCCCCCTCCGTCATCCCACTTTCTTGAAATTGGAATTTGATTAGTTTAGTCTTTCTCTTGTGTGGATGTGTATTTGTTCTTCTCCTGGATTCGTGTAAGGATTGAGTACGCTGGATGCTTGTTTTTCCATTCTTGTGATACTTTACTAAGGAAGAATGTGCTTCAGCTCCATTCAGGTTAATACAAAAGATGTAGAGTCTCTATCTTTTTGTTTTTTTGGAGATGGAGTTTCACTTTGTCACCCTCAGTAGGATGCCTTGGCATCCTAGCTCACAGCAACCTCAAATTCCTGGGTTCAAGCCATTTTCTTGTGTCAGCCTCCTGAGTAGCTGGGACTATGCCACAATGCCCAGTTATTTTTAGAGATGGTGTCTTGCCCTTGCTCAGGCTGGTCTCAGACCAGCTCAGGCAATCCACATGCCTGAGAGTAGCCTCCCAGAGTGCTAGGATTACAGGCGTGAGCCACCACACCCAGCCAAGTCTCTATCTTTTTTATGGCTGAATAGTACTCCATGATATACATATGCCACAGTTTATTAACCAACTTGGGTTAATTCCAGCTCTTGGCCATTGTAAATTGAGCTGTGATAAACAACGTAGTGCAAATGTCCTTATGATAAAATGATTTTTTTTTTTTTGAGACAGAGTCTCAAGCTGTCCTCCTGGGTAGAGTGCTATGACATCACTGCTCATAGCAACCTCCAACTCCTGGGCTTAAGTGAGTCTCCTGCCTCAGCCTCCCAAGTAGCTGGGACCACAGGTGTCCGCCACAACGCCCGGCTATTTTTTGGTTGCAGCTGTCATTGTTGTCTGGCAGGCCTGGGCTAGATTCGAACCTGCCACCTTAGGTATATGTGGCTGACACTTTAGCCACTTGAGCCACAGGCGCAGAGCCAAAATGATTTTTTTTTTTCTCAAAAATATGGAGCGCTTCACCAACTTGCGTGTCATCCTTGTGCGGGCCATGCGAATCTCCTCTGCATCATCCTAACTTTAGTGTATGTGCTGTGGAAGGGAGCACCGATCTGCACATTTTCTCCTTTACTCCTTATTGTTGGTACTTTGGTCTTAGAAGAAGGTGAAAGTGAAGTGAGTTCACACAGTTCTTTTGAGCATCTATTATGCCTCAGGTACTGTGCTAGTGTTTGCCATGTGTTAATTTTTTTCTTTTTTTTTTTGGAGACGGAGTCTCACTTTGTCACCGTTGGTAGAGTGCCATGGCCTCACAGCTCACAGCAACCTCCAACTCCTGGGCTTACGCAATTCTTTTGCCTCAGCCTCCTGAGCAGCTGGGACTACAGGTGTCCGCCAGAACACCCGGCTATTTTTTTGTTGCAGTTTGGCCAGGGCTGAGTTCAAACCCGCTACCCTCGGTATATGGGGCCAGTGCCCTACCCACTAAGCCACAGGCACCACCCATTCTTTTTTGTTTTCTTGAGATTGAATCTCACTCTGTTACCCAGAGTAGGATGCCATGGCATCAGACTAGCTCACAGCAACCTCAACCTCCCGGGTTCAAGTGATCCTCCTGCCTTATTCTCCCTAGTAGCTGGGACGATAGGCACCCACCACAACATCTGGTTGTTTTTTCTATTTTTAGTAGAGATGGGGTCTTGCTCTTGGTCAAGCTGGTCTGGAACTTCTGAGCTCAAGGGATCCTCTTGCCTCAGCCTCCTAGAGTGCTAGGATTATGGGCATGAGCCATCACACCTAGACAATTTTGTTTTATTTAAATCTCTGCCTGTAGTTCTAGCACTCTGGGAGGCCAAGGCAGGTGGATGGATCACTTGAGGTCAGGAGTTTGAGAGCAGCCTGAGCAAGAGCGAGACTCCATCTCTCCTAAACAATAGAAAAAGTAGCTGGGAGTGGTGGTGGGTACCTGTGTTGGGACCTAAATCGCTGCTGAGAGACCACCATACACACATGTAAAAAGAAGTGCTTTTATTTAAATGTAAGCATATGCCTGGATCACGCCACCCTATAGTGCGCAGCCAGGGAGGGGTGACCCTGAAGTGAAGCAGGCGGAGGTTTTTAAAGCTTATAGAGGAATTCCATCCGGTGTTTGGTCAGGAGGGGTTGCTATTGGCTGAGCTGTTATGGCTAAGGACTTTCTAGAGGGGGGTTGCTTGTCTGTTTCTGATAGACTGGCTCCCTCTCAGCTGATTGACCTTGCCCAGAAGTGTGGAGGGCGGAAGCTGGTCCCCTTCAGACTGGCTGCCCGGAAGTGCAGGGGAGGGAGCGTCTCCTTCTGATAGACTGATTCCACCTGGGTGGCCTTGCCCAGGAGGGGAGTGGGGAGTTAGTTCCAAGATGGAGTTACATTAACCTTTTTCTTTCTTTCTTTTTTTTTTTATTAAATGATAGCTGTATACATTAATGCAAGCATGGGGTACAGTGTAGTGTTTTCATATACAATTTGAAATACTTTCATCAAGCTGGTTAACATAGATTTCATGTCATTTGCTTAGTCATTGTGTCAAAATATTTATGTTCTAGTTCTAGAAAAGTTCACTTATACCCTTGTTAGGCAGATATATAGGTGATCTTTCTGGTCACCCTCCCACTACCTGGCCGCCCTTTTCTCCTCCCCTTCCCTACGCCATCCCCATATTCTTGGGCTAGAATTAAGTTGTATCTTTCATTTGAACATTAACCTTTTAATTCCCAAATGGTGTTACAATTAACCTCTTCACCTGTGGTCCCAGCCTACTCGGGAGGCTGAGGCAGGAGGATTGCTTGCGCCCAGGAGTTTGGTTGCTGTAGCTATACCACCACAGCACTCTATCCAGGGCAATGGAGTGAGACTCTGTCTTAAAAAAATAAAACAAAACAAAAAAACTCTGAACACCAGCCCTGCAAGGTAGGTGTTCACATTTAGATGGGAGAGCACAGTGGAAATGACTCGGCAACAGAGAGGCTAAGACAGTAGAGGAGAGTAGAAGGAGATTATAAATGAGGCGCAGACAGGCAGGAGCAGAAAGCTCCAGTGCAGATTGTACCGATACAGAAACAACGGGAATTAGAGCTCCCCCAAACATGGGCATGCTCCGCGCCTTCCTCCCCACAGCGGGCATTTGGCTAGTCTTTGAAAATGGGGCCACAGAGGCAGCGTTTTGTCAGCGCATGTTATTCTGAACTTGCAGTGAAGAAGAGGCTCTGGCTGGGCTGTTAGGACACATAAATCGTCTATCTCCTCTTTACAACGGATAACAGCAAAGAGATAAATCTTACGGTGCCCAGGCTTAGTATGCCCGAGAGAGTTCCAGCTTGTAATTATGCACCAGAACCTGTTCCTAGGTTGTATTTCTTGGATTGTTGCAATCCGCTGTTCATCCAGCGAACTTCACCTGGGTTTCGCCCTCCCTCTGGGATCATTTAGGTTCCGTTCTCTGGTCTGTGGCATTAATGAAGGCAGTGGATTCTCCCTGAGGCCTAAACTAGCTTTTGATTCATGTATTTTTAGGAACTGTGCTGGTGAACATACTTCTGAATAATTCAGTGCACCGTCATTGGTGATATTAGATGATGAATCAGGCAGCAGTGGACACTAAAATCTCTGGCCCTTTTATAATTCCATGCACAGAGGATGGGATATAAGTGGATAAAAAAAAATGTTAAAGTATCACGAGAATAGAAAATGTACTCAATACTAACATGAAACCAATGATAGTGGTGAAAAGAAAGGAAAAGAAAAACAAATTGAAGTGGTGGGGAGGAGGGAAAGGGGACAGACGAGGACTGATAAGCTCTCACCTAATGGGCAGGATTAGGGTATACAGCACACGGTCCGGGTGAGGGGCTCAGCTGTACTTGAACTTCACCGAGCAAATGCAAACCATGTGACCTAATCATTGCACCCTCATATTCATCTGAAATTTTCAAAAATGTTAAAATATTTCAACACACTAGAAATATTAGGGACAGTTATTGTGACTCGAGAAAGTCAGTGGCGGAGGAACCATAAAAGCTTTGTGAGCAGGGGTGGGGACAGTTTTGACAGTAAGTAATAAAATGCAACAAAGGTTCTAACTACCTCCATGAAGGATTAAAAAAATAATAAAACAAACTTCCATAAGGTATGCTTTACATACAGTAAACTGTACATAAAGTGTCTAACTTTTTTTTTGCAGTTCTTTTTTTTTTTTTTGGCCGGGGCTGGGTTTGAACCTACCACCTCCAGCATATGGGGCTGGCGCCCTACTCCTTTGAGCCACAGACACCACCCTCTAACTTGTTTTTTTTTTTTTTAGAGAGAGTTTCACTCTGTTACCCAGACTAGAATGCAGTGTTATCAGCCTAGCTCACAACCTCAGCCTTCCCAGCAGCTCAGACTACACGTGGACCCACCTCGAGGCCCAGCTAGTTTTGCCATTTTTAGTAGAGATGGGGTCTCGCTCTTGCTCAGGCTGGTCTTGAACTTGTGAGCTCAAGGGCTCCCCCCACCTCAGCCTCCCAGAATGCTAGGATTACAGGCTTGAGCCACTGCACCGGCCTAAAAGTGTATAATTTGATAAATGCTGATGTTGCATACATCTGTAAAACCATCATTGTAATTATGAAAATGAATAGATGCCTCATTAATAATGTTTCCTCATGCTTCTTGAGAATCCCTTCCTTCTGCCCTGCCTGAATTTACGTGCAGAGAGTTGTTTGTAATGTTCTCTTATAATGCCTCTTATATCTGTGGATTCTATACTGAGATTGTCAGCTTTCCTCATATCAGTAATTTGTGTCTTCTCTCTCTTTTTTTTTTCTTTTTGTCAGTCTTCCTGGAGATTTATCAATGTTACTGATCCTTTCAAAGGACCAGCATTCATTTTCTCTATTGTTTTTTCTGTATTCAATTTCCTCTCTGCTTCCTTCTTTCTGCTTGTATTAGGTTTATTTTATTCTTCTTTTTCTAGTTTCTTAGGTGATTGACTTGAGACCTTTTTACTTTTCTGGTGTAAACATTTGATGGTGACCAGGCACAGTGGCTCATGCCTGTAATCCCAGCACTCTGGGAGGCTCAGGCAGGTGGATCGCAGGAAGGAGTTTGAGACCAGCTTGAGCGAGAGGGAGGCCCTGTCTCTACTAAAAATAGAAAAACTAGCTATGGCGTTATCGGGGCACTGTAGTCCCAGCTACTGGGGAAGCTGAGGCAAAAAGATCTCTCAAACCTAGGAGTTTGAGGTTGCTGTGAGCTATGACACCAGGGCACTCCACCCAGGGTGAGCCTCACTCCACAGAGTTCATGAGACTCCATCTCCAAAAAAAAAAACCATTTGATGATATAAATTCCCCCCTAATCACTGTTTCAGGCACATCCCACAAATTTTGATATATTCTATTTTCATCTTCATTCAATTCCAATTATTTTAAATTTCCCTTGGGATTTCCTCTTTGACCTATGTTACTCAATTTCCAAGTGTTCAGAGATTTTTCTATCATTCTTCTACTGAGTTCTAGTTTCATTTCATTATGTTTAGGGGCCATACCTTCTATGGTTTCAATTCTTTCAAGTTTGTTACAGTTGGTCACAAGGTCTGCCTTGGTGAATATAACATATATCCTTGAAAAGAAAATGTACTCTGCTCTTGTTGCTTGTAGTACTCCATAAATATCGATTAGATCCAGTTAGTTGACCCAGTTAGCTGTCGCTCAGTTCTATAGAACTCTGTCTACTAGTTGTAGTACAGAGAGAGGACTGCTGAAGCCTGCAACCATACTTGTAGATTTGTCTGTCTCCTTTCCGTTCTGTCAGGTTTTGCTTTACAGATATTGCAGTTCTGAGCCAGGTGCACACACATTTAGGGTTTTGTGAATGACACTTTTGTTATTATTTAATGTCCTTCTTTACCACTGGTAACTTTCTGGTGTTCTGAGGTCCACTTGATGTTAATATAGCCACTCCAGCTTTCTTTGCTTAATGTTTGTATAACATTTCTTTTTTTCATCCTTTTACTTTAAACATGATTAAATCATTATGTTGGAAGTGAGTTTCTTGTAGATAGCATATAATTGGTTCATTTTTAATCCATT